AATCTCACACAAAGGCCTAAAGAAGTGATTGAAAGTACTTGCTGCTCTTGCAGAGGACCTGGGTACTATTCCCAGTACCCACATGGTGACTAAGCTCTGTATTTCCAGTTCTAGGGCATCTGATACCCTCTTCTGACGTCCATAGGCACATGTGTGATGCACAGACATATGTGCAGGTAAAACACTCATACATGTAAAGTAAAAATAATTCTTACATGAGAGCTGTAAGCTAAATCATTTGGGCTAAATTCTAGCTGTTTTACAGTCAACGTAAAGCCTGAATAATTTTTCCAATCTTTCAGTGAATAAATGGCATGGAAAGACAGTAAAAAATTAGAGTCACCTGAGGGACTAGCTCAGCAGGGAAGCACTGCTTAGACTCTGCAAGATCCTGGATTCTAACCCCCAGAAACAAAATTACAAAGACACTGTAAATGAGAACAGAAATCTAAAGATAAGTGGAACATGAGGGGCTGGGAAGACGTCTCAGTAAGTAAGAGCACCTGCTGCAAGCCCTGATGACCTGAGTTCGATTCCCCAGAACCCACATAGGTCCTTCAAGCTGTACTTTAACTTCCAGACACATAAACAAACAAAGCATCAAATAAACAACTCTTTTTAAAATGTTAATTACGCTCTTTCTCTGACTCCATTTGTCAAACAAAGGACAATTACTATTTCCAATATAAACGAATTCCTATTGCTGGCTCCAGATGTACATGTGTGTGCATGCATGTGTGTATGCATGCATGTGTGTAGAATTGCAAATTTTCCTTCATAAAATCTTAAAGCAAAATTGGCTTCCTTCTGGTGTATGTTTATTTATAATCAGATATGTCTTTTCAGTATTTTTATGAGAGAGAGAAATAGAGAGAGAGAGACAGAGAGAGAGAGAGAGAGAGAGAGAGAGAGAGAGAGAGAGAGGAGGAGAGAGAGAGAGAGGAAAGAGAAGGGAAGTGAAAGAAAAAGAGGAGAAAGAGAGAGGCTTGATGGGGAACCTCCTTCAGCCAATGACTTTTAAGAGGTTGGACCAGGTTGGGGTGTACCCAGAGAAAACTACCTACTCACTCAGCTCTCTCTCTCTTTTCTCTGTGCTTTACACCTTGAAGGTTGGACCTCCCATTCCTCTTTTTTGAATTTTTCCCTTACAATAAGAATAATCTTGGACTACTCTTTTGGAGTTAGCTTAGGATTATTTGACTCGTGCTTGTCCCCCATCTCTGCTTTTATGCGTTCTGCTTCAGAGACTGACTTGTTTGGTTGTTTCTTTTGTCTCAACTATAGCAAGGCTTTATTCTGCTATTCTAAAGAATCCCTGGACACCAAACCATCCCTGGGAGGTAAGATGTGGGGCACAATTTCTATGGCCTCACTCACTGTCCACAGCCAATAATGGTTCCCTCAGGGACCCAAGCATTCCCCTTTTCCATTCCAGCCCTAGTGGCGTCTGGTGAGAACTGAGACTGGAGAAGGAATAAAGTGGGGGAGCATTATGGAACCCAAAGCTTTGCTCTGTGGGTGTCAGAGTGGCAGACACAGTCTCCCACTCCCTCCACTGGCCCGTCCTTGTCCCACCTGCCACAGCCCTTTAGTGCAATGAGTTGTAGGGAGCTGCTTGTTCATCCAGACCACCCAGAACTGAAATAATCACTCAGAAACTGTATTAATTAAAACACTGCTTGGCCTGTTAGCTCTAACTTCTTATTGGCTAACTCTTACATCTTAACCCATTTCCATTAATCTGTGTATCACCTTCATGTGGCAGTGGCTTACCGGCTAAAGTTCCGGCATCCATCTCTGGTGGTGGTTCCATGGCTTCTCTGACTCCGCCCATCTTTCTCTCAGCATTCAGGTCTGTCTTCCCTGCCTACCTAAGTTCTACCCTATCACAGGCCAAGGCAGTTTCTTTATTCATTAACCAAGAAAACCAGCACAGACAGAAGGACCTCCCACACCAATGAGTATAAGTTACCTTCAGGCAGAAGGCATGGACAACACAGACCCATGGACATGTGTAAATCAGAACAGGGGGCGTGGCAGGGAGTGGCACCTAAACCAAAGGCAATGAAGGCAAGGGAAATGCAAAGCTTACCACGTAAGCTTTATTCAGGCACTGTGGGTCCTCCATTCCCAGAGACAGAAATCACGACAGAAGTAATAGGTAAATTTATAAAAGGGTCACAGGCCCAGCCTTTCTAAGGGCTGATCCCAGATGGCTAATGCTGTTGCTTGGTCTTCCCCTGCACCACCACCCCCCCAAGCAGGACATGCCAGAGTCACCATCTTCCGACTCAGAGAATTCTTCTGGACTCTCAGGATAATGGGTGAGCAAACACCATGCATACCTTGCAGCTGGCCTTGCAAACGTGGCACTGAACTGGGTTGGGCCACATGTAGGGAACAATGCGACCAGGGATCCTGATGCCTGAAGAGCAGCAACCATCACCCTTCAGGAATGACCCACCGGGAAATGGATAAGTGTTCAAAATGCATTTGGTCAAGAGCATAGGATTTTTTTTTAATTCGCTAAAGAGAAGAAAACACACTAATGGCTGATTTTTTTAAAAAAAGAAGAAGAAGAAGAAGAAGAAGAAGAAGAAGAAGAAGAAGAAGAAGAAGAAGAAGAAGAAGAAGAAGAAGAAATAAAACTAAGAACCTCCCTTGTCACCTCTCAGGTTAAGAAAGGGGTAAAATGTTGGCTTATACAATCCACTGTAGCATGTAACCTGAAAAAAAATAACTTTTTGTTAAAACAAGAAAAACCAAGAAGACCTTGAGCACTCTTGGTCCTTCAAGGAGCTTGGATTTGTCAGCCAAAAGTAAGAAATAAACTCGGGTCCATACATACATTTTTAAAGCAGTCAGACTGGCCTTGCCATCAGCAGAATGGGATGTCCTAGGACAGAGATGAGCCTCCCCGGCCCACCAGCCACGTGTCTGAGAGCGGAAGCCAATGCTCACTTCCACAGCTCACGTATCCAAAGCTGAAGCCACTCCCAGAAGTCCGACCACAAGCAGCCATGCTGTGGGTCCTGGCCTACAGGCCAGCAAGGGCATTCAGCCACTGCTTAGCCTGATTCTCTAGACACAGCTGACATCATCTGTGGGTTCTTGAGGGTGGGTGGCAGGCAAGGGAACACAAACGCACACACACACACACACCACACACAGCACACACACACACACCACACACAGCACACACACACACACACACACACACACACACACACACACACTAGGTCCACTTTTTCCTCTTGCTGGCATCATCGAGACACAGGTTCATTGTTTGCATCAGATAAGCTACAGGGACAGTCACTGAGCCACTGGTGCCTGAGAGGCCGTGCATCAAGACACCACACTTTATAGAGCCCATTGAAGTTGGGGGGCTCCGGGAAGAACGGGGAGAGGCTCGGCTCGGGCTTCAGCGGATCTGGCTCCAGGTAAATTTGACACCGTGCTCAAAAGCATTGGGTAGGTTGGGTTTCGACACTGAGGACATAGCTGATGACATAACTACCTTCTAGGTTGGTAGGGTCCCAGGCACAGCCAAAGTAGAGGTAGGCCAGGATCCAGACTGGAAGGCTATCTGTTTAAATATCATAGTGCTGCCAGGTGTCTCAGTCCGACTGCTGGGCAGCTTTGGGTCTGACTTGGCATTGAAGTGGTCAGAACTGATGCAGAGCCCCCACCCTACCCCATCCCAGGACCAAGGTGTGTGGTGAGGTACTCGGGGAGGGTAAGGTGTCCATATGAAAGTCTCACAATGCCGAGTGTTCTGTCCGGAATTACCTCGGGGGAGTAGACCTGAAAGCCTTGCTTCACAGGTCAAGGATGGAGACCTGAGAACCAGGCACCAAGGCTGCCAGACAGCAGGTGGTGAAGCACTCATTGTCTGCCTGGCTGGGAGTGATGGGGCAGATGGGCAGGTTGTCCTTGCAGAGGGCGCCAGCATGAGGCCAGTGATGGCCAGCAATCCAGCAGCCTGTCTGCACCCTATCAGGGCTTGGTCTGACTCCAGTCATAGTGCCAGATCCCACATCTGCCTCCTGGCCTCAGTGACCCCAGCACAACTTCCCCTTCCCTGCCTCCTGCTGAGCCCCAAACCCCCGAATCTATTTCTCAAGTCAGGAATTTTAGCTGGTTTAGTTTTTGTTTTTGGAGACATAGTTTCATTATGTCTCCCAGACTGGTCTCAAACTTTTTATATAGTCCAAGATAGTCTCCAACTCATTATCCCCTCTCACCCTCCCAAGTCCTGGGATTTCGGGTACGTGGCACCATGCCCATCTGACAGTTTCAATGGTCTCATGATGAGGGGGGAGGAGGAATCAGAGCCCAAAACTGCTATAAGAAAGGAAAATTATAAGAATCTTGCGAAGCCAGTGGGATTCTCGGTGAACATCGCCCAGGACAAAAGGGAAATGAAGGATCCTATAAGTGTAATTTCATACATTTTAAGCTGCTTTAGTGATCTTAGTTATTACAAACCTTGAATGTCATTTAACACACTTCTCAAGGGTGCCAAGATGTCCCTTTTCTGAGAAACCATTTTACTCAGACTTTACAAATATCCCTCCAGGTGTAATGCAGCAGCCCATTCCAGTAAGTGCAACACTAAGAAGACAAAAACTGGATGATCGCTTCAAATATGATGACGCAGAAGATGAAGAGGAGGTAGAAGAAAACGGAAACAGTGCAATTAAGGCTTTACTTCGGTGCCTAGGAGGCTCCAGCGGGCCTGAAACCCCACTCCCTCTCCTACTCAGCTCAGAAAACTACAGTGGCTCTTGCAGGATGAAGTTCAAACTTGAGCTGGAAAAGAACTGCCATCGGCATGGAAGCCTTGCATGGCTAATCAGCAAACAGTAGGGTTCTCCGGCTCAAACACAGCAGCCCAGCCTCTTCCCTCCCAGAGTACAGCTGGTTCTGTTGCTCTCCAGCGCCCCCCGCTGGTCATTAACCGGGCTCGGTTTATTCTGGGATCCACCGAGTTCGGGGGGGGGGGGGGGGGGGGGGGTCCCGGGGGGGGGGGGGGGGGGGGGGGGGGTGTCACTGTGCACCCGACTTCAGCGGCTCCACCCGCAACCACAGCCCGCCCTCCGCGCGCAGGATCAGCTCCGGCTTCCGGCGCGGCGCCTTGTCGTCCGGCAGGAGGCGGAAGCGCAGCAGTGTCAGCGCCAGCGCCACTTTCATCTCGCTCATGGCGAAAGTCTGTCCTATGCAGTTCCTGCGGGAGGGCGGGGTGGGAGACTCGGATGCACCGGGACCCAACCAGGCACCATCAGACCCAACCTGACCCGGTCCGGGCGGCGCATGGTCAGCCCTTTGCCTTCCATCCCCAGGCTCTGCAGACTTACCCGCACGCCCTAAGCCGAGGCTGGGAAGAAGACCCAGAACCCAGTCACCTCAACTCCTGTTCCCACTGACAGTCCCAGACTCTGGCCCATCCAGGCTCACCTGGGCCCCGCGGAGAAGGGAATAAAAGCCAGAGGTGATCTCTTCTGAGGGTTTTCTGGGTCAAAGCGGAAGGGGTCGTAGGTCTGGGGGAGAGGCAAGATTAGTCTTCTAGGTTGGGTCTCTGAACACAGCCAGCCAACCCCAGAAAATTCTGACATGGAAAGAGGAGACAGCTTGTTTCCAGGATAAGGCCGAACCCCTCCCCAGGTCCCAGAGATGCCCAAGGATCCCCCACCTCAGGGTCTGGCCACACTGAAGGATTGTGATGAATACCAAAGATGCTGATGACACAGATGTTCCCTGTTGGGCAGGAACATCTAGTCAGTATCAGGTCTGAGCTGCCCCTAGGGACCATCACCATACTCATGGGCCTCCCCTCTGCACCTCCCCTCAGCCATGTCCCTGAGGCACCTTTGGGGATGACCCTGCCATCAGGTAGCGCAATATCCTGGGCGCAGCTGCGCAGAAGGTCTATGACCGGAGGATGCAGCCGCAGACTCTCCTTGATGCACATGGTCAGGAAGGGCAGCTGGGCCAGGTCGTCCCTGAGGAAACCACCACACAATTATCCAGGAGCAAAAACAAAGCCCTGCTCAGCCTCACTGACACGCAGTTGGATTTTTACCACTTCCCTGGCAACCTTAGTTCTGTAATAAATTATATTCCAGATGAAGTCAATAAGTTCGCCCGTCCCTTTGCTTGTCGCTAGCTATTAAAAACAACCATGAACTCCTTATAGTTCCCATCCCACTTCCCAAGTTTAGAGGTCACAGGTGTCAACTGAGATCTGGATCAAAGATGAACCCCTCCCCCATCACAAAAAAAACATCAGAAAAAAAAAACCCTGAAATATTTCTAATTAAAGCATAAACTTCCAAATTGATCCTTAAACCATTTGATAAACTTGCAATGCAAAAGCTTTCAAATTTTTATACGATGACCTGACTGTGGTGATCCTCGTGAAAGTGAAGGGTGGAAGATCAGGAATAAATAAGTAAATGGACAACCTGGGCTATAAGAGACCTTGCATCAGAAATGATTTATATAACGAAATAACAAGAGCAGAAATACAGATCCTTAAAGGCCATAAAGTTATTTCAATGAAAATATGTATTCCCTGGGAAAGTGGTGATGGGAAAAAGGACCCTTTACTATAAAGGCATCAGGTTCTCTCTCTCTCTCTCTCTCTCTCTCTCTCTCTCTCTCTCTCTCTCTCTCTGTTTTTTAAGACAGGACTTCTAGGTGTAGCCCTGACTGTCTTGGAATTTGCTTCTAGACCAGACTAGTGTTGAGCTCAGAGATCTGCCTGCCCCTGCCTCCAACATGCTGGGATTAAAGTCATGAGCCACCTACATCACCCAGCTAGTCCTTTCTATATTAATTTTCAGTACTATCCATTAACCCTTTAGCTGTTTTTTGTCTTTTTAAAATGCATTTTTGCACTTTTAGACATGTATATAGTACATATTATCCTGGAAGGGCTCTCTCGTCTCCTCCCTCTCCCTCTGCCCTCCCTTTGCCCTCCTGTCTTATCTGTTTGGGACCTGATGAAGTTAAAGTTGCTTGAATGAGCATGGCGGGAGGGGGGGAAGAGAGAGAATTTGTATTTTAGAACCTAAAAATTCTTTCGCAGGACTGGATATCACAGAGCCTTGCATGATAGACAAGTGTCCACCACTCACTACATCCGTTCTCAACAACGTTATTCCAGTTAAAAGAGCTAAACTTCATGCAGAGGCAAGCCAATTTAAAAATTAAAGATGGAGCCAATCTACCAGTCACTAAAACCTCTTACAAAACTGTAGTGATAAAAATGAAAATAAGTTTTTAAAAACTAAAGTTACTAAGGAGACCTGTGGACTATAGAGGTGAGGTGGGCACAAGACAGTCCATACACTCCTGGGAAATGGGCAGGCAGTTTGGAGGAAGATGCTTAAAAAACTGGCATTAAGCAAACTAAAAGAATGAAATGCAGCCAGCCAAAGAATCCCAGGATTGGAGTAGAGAAGGCAGGAGGACCAGAGGTCAAAGTCAGCCTCAGTTACAGAGTAAGCTGGAGGTTGTCGTTACCTCAGCAAGCAGAGTCTCAATAAATAAATAGATAGACAGACAGACAGATGCATTCAATGCTTGCACACCATGGTTGCCCATACCTTTAAATCCAGCACTTGGAAGACAGGCAGGCAAATCTTTATGAGTTTGAGACCAGCCTGATTCACACAGTGAGTTCCAGGCCAGCCAAGGCAACACAGTGTAACCCTATCTAAAAAAATTCTTAGCCCCTCCAAATACAGCCCCTCTCAAATACATCAGGAATACTAAAACTATAAGTTAGGGAGCATGTCTATTGTACCAAAGACTTGTCATCTCTTCATGGTGAGAATATTGAAAATCCTTTTTTTTCCCTCTTGGTATTTTCAATGAACAAAATGTTACTGAAAAGTAGACCAAGATACAGGATGGAATTTCACAAGGATTGAAAACGAAGTGTTCCACTGATTGCTGTAGGAAAGGGAGCAAGGGAGGTAAAGGGGAGGGGATGGGCGATGAGAACATGAGAGAATTGGATGGTGAGGGGAGGAAGAAGGATGGAGTGGGAAAGGAATGAAAGAGAGATCTTGATAGAGAGAAGCACTATGGGGTGAGGGAGAAACCTGGTGCTAGGGAAACTTCCAAAGAATCCACAAGGATGACCCCAGCTAAGACTCCTAGCAATAGTGGAAAGGGTACCCAAACTGGCCTTCCCCTGTAATCACATTGGTAAATACCCCAACTATCATCATAGAGCCAGTAACTGATGGAACCAGATGCAGAGATCCACAACCAAACACAAGGCAAAGCTCTGGAAATCCAATCTAAGAGAGGGAGGAGGGAATATATGAACAAGGGAGGTCAAGGTCATGATGGAAAAATCTACAGAGACAGCTGAACCAAGCTCATGGAAACTTACGAACTCTAGGCCGACAGCTGTGGAGCCTCCATGGGATGAAACTAGCCCCTCCACTATGTGGGAGACAGTGGTGAAGCTTGGACTATCTGAGGGTCCCCTGGCATTAGGACAAGGATTTATCCCTGGTCCATGAGTTAGCTTATTAGAGCCCATTCCCAATGGTGGGATGTCATGCTCAGGCTTGGTCCTGTCCCAACTTAATGTGCCAGACTTTGTTGACTCCCCATCGGAGGAGTGCTTACCCATTGGGAGGAGTAGATGGAGGGTGGGCTAGAAGGGAGGAAAAGGAGGTGAGAGGAAGAGCTGTGATTAGAATTAAAATAAAGAAAAAAATTGAAAAGAAAAAAGAGGTGTCCCTGAACTACAAACAGAAAAATGGTATAACAGCCAATGGAAATTCAGGAGACGGGAGGAAGAGACTCAAGAAAAACAAACTGGGTTTGAAAGCAGCCATAATGAACCCTACTATGCTGTGTGCAATGCAATCAACTAAATGAAGAGACACCCAAGCTCAGCATGACATCCCCAATACAAAGGTGTTAGGATACTGTGAGTCAGCCTTGGCTGCATAAGCAGACCCTATATCAAAATCTCAGAAGTAGCACCAGAGACAACATGGACCGGAGCTCACCACTCAATCTCCTCGGGTTCTCGGTCCCTCAACAGCTCCCGCACCTCCTGCCGGCAGCGCTCCTGGTATTCCGGGTGCCTCGCCAGGTTATACAGGATCCAGGAGAGCCCACTGGCTGTGGTGTCATGGCCTGAAGGGTAGACAGACAGGCAAGCTTGGGTCTCTGGCATTTTCCAGCACAATGGAGTAAAGTGCCCAGAATAAAGTCCCCAGAGAATGATGGGGAAGGTATGGATGGACAGAATGGAAGGATTTCAGATTCCCCACAATACCCACATGGGATCAACAGACCTCTAGCTCCTCTGGAGTCTCACACAGGGACCAGGGACTCTCACCTCCAAACATGAAGGTGTCAGCCTCTGCCCGGATGTCCTCATCAGACAGCTCCTTTCCGTGTTCATCCTGTAGACAAAACAAGACCCTCAATTTATACCATATCTGAGGTGATAAGAGACAGGTTCTGATACCCACTGTGCACACAGGATGCCTCCATTTCTTCCTTGGTGTTCTGTCCCCATCAAAAAAAAAGGTACCTCTAAAATATATCCGTCATGTGCCTAATTTTCCTAAGCACCATTTGTAACTCCCCAGTACTGTGCTGATCAAGTCCAGCATCTTCAATTTATACATGGAACATTAACGTTCCTAAAACCCAGATCCCACATAAACCCACCTTGGCCAGCAGGAGCACATCAATGAAGTCCAAAGTCTTGGATTTAGTCCTGGATTTCAGGAACTCGTCAACACTTTGGCTGGAGAGGGTGCGGCGTCTCTCCCTGATGACAGCATCTGTGAAGTTGTGCACCAGGTCACAGGCCTCGAGGAAGCGCCGCCCGTCAGCAGTGCGGTAGTACAGGAAGTCCACATACAGGAAGAGCTGCTGGGACCTTTTTACCATGAGGGAACTGAGCTCCAAAATGGCAGCAATGTATTCACTGGGAGACCTGCAGTTCAGGCCAGAGAGGAAGCAACTTAGCACACACAAAAACCCCAGAGAAGCTCCAGCCAGAGTCCCAGGTCCAGGATCCATCTTGAAAAGGACATCCACAAAGCACAAATTCTGTTTCCTGTTTCCCATGAGTAGCTCCCTGATCCAGGTTTCCAGGGCATAAATGGACATCATTTCCTCTTCTAATTCACTCAGCATCTGCTCCTGCTCTTCTCCCTTGGTTTCTTGTGACTCTGCCCAGGCTCAGACCCTCCTCTCCTGGTTCCTTGCATCCTGTATCTCCATGAAGCTCCTTTGTTGATTAGATTGTCCAAGCTCACTGTAACCAGGACTCCCCTCTGTACAGACACTTTCTCTTATGACCTGGAAAACTCAGGATGGAGTTCACACCCTTCTGGCTAGGTAACGCCTTTAAGATCTGGTCCCTCACTGAAAATGGTGACTCCTGGCTGTGATCCCAACACATAGGAGGTGGATGCAGGAGGATCAGAAGCACAAGTCCAATATCATCTACATAGTGAGCTCCAGGCCAGACTAAGCACAGATTGAGATGAACTCAAGAAAAAAAAAAGAGAGGGAAGGGAAGGGAAGGAGAAAAAACGTGGTACTGTCTAATGTTCTGCAGTGTTTAACTTTGAGAATCTACATCACACTGAGCTGCACCAAAGATTAATAAAGCATATCCCTGTGTATGTCAGAGATGGTGTTTAGTCTCCAGATCAAATTAAATGAGTGTTTAAAGCCCACACTGAACATGGACAGCTTCTTCCCACTAAATGGGGTCACATGGATGAGGAGGGAAGAAGGAAGAAGCTTGCTGGCACAGACATGTTCTCTCTGCACTTCTCTGCCATGATGGTGGGAACGTACCAATCCACCACGATGGACTGAAACCACAGAATAAACTACATCTTTCCCTCTTAGCTTGTTTCACTTGCGATATTTTACTATGAAACTGTAACACGCTGTTGAGTGTCCTGCCGAAGATGCCTCCTTCTGAACGGCCTCTTTCACCCACTACCTCCTACCCCTCCTTGCCTTTATGCACACCTCCCTAGAAGAACAACTCATCCTCTTTTTTCCTGTCCCACTTTTGATCCAACTCCTGCAGAGTCTCTTCTACTCTCTCTAGGCAGCCCTCCATCTCCAAACTACTTCCTCAGTACCTGCCCCACATCCCAAGGCTGAGACAGGGACTCACTCTTGACAGTTGCTGTCAAAGCCAAAGAGGCATTTCTGCAGACTGTCCAACGTCATGAGGCTGATGTTATCAAACATTTCCAGTCGTGCGCTGCCCTCCAAGGCTAGGCGCTTCCACTTGTCCTGACCAGAGGAGGGAACAGACATGGGGTTAAGCCTTTGATCCTTGAGTCCCTTCCCAACCCTAAACACTGGAACAGGCACCTGACCCCAGAGAAGAACGACTCTGGTGGGAGCAAAAAAACAGTACAGGCGAAGCCCTTGGTTCACCTTCTGTGTGCTCTCGGTCTGCTTGCTGCCTTCTCCTAGGTCCTGTTTGTCAAGTCTTCAGCCACAGTTAAGCTCAGGATCGATTACCCAGTAAACTATAGAAGTGCTCACTCTGCCATTCACGCTCGCTTACTTTTTGTAAACTTGGAGAACACGGACCTCTCCTACCTTTGGTTTCATCGTCCAAAATATAACACCTCTGCCTCACAGCAATATGGAAATTACATCATTCAACATAAACGGTAGACCTGATGTAATATTCTATATGCAGAAGGTGTTCAATAAGTGTCAACAGTGGTTACCATCCTCAATAGTATAATTATAGTTGGCTACAGAAATGGACCCAGTTTTCTCTAAGTCCTCCATTCTCAGACTTCACAATGTGTCCATATAAAGTTTCGGCTTTCACCCTTTTTGAACCAGCATTTTTCATGCTTGAAAACCCAGAGTGAACTCAGCTCTACCCAATACCATTTTTAAATGAGTTTTGACCATAATCTTGACCCCTGCCCAACCCACTTCTCCCAGAAGGATCTAAGTTTTTTGAGACAAGGTCTTGTTGTTAATGTAGTCTGGACTGGCCTGAAATTCACAGTCTTTCTTCCTCAGTCTCCCCGGGCTGGGATTGAGAAGTGCCTCACCATGGCCATCTTAGGGGCAACACAGTCTAAGCTAGTATTCTACAGAGAAAGAGCTACGTTGATAGTCAGTGCTAACCAGATGACTGACTCTCCAGGGCTTCTGCAAAGGAGAGTAGATACTGGTCTGCTAGGTGCCCCATCTATATGGAAAGAGTATGACTCCAAGGTGTCCTTCTGATCACCTTTTAAGTTCAGATTATTATCCTTATTTTAAAGATGGGGAAACTGAGGTTTGGTGAGGAAAACTGATGTCCCCAAGTCCATGCAGCAGAAACACACCTTCAGACTACATCTGGCTGAAGTCACTCCCTGTTCTTCAGTGTTCTTTATGGGACCCTGGGTTTGAGGAACTCACGTGCATGATGTTCACGCTCTTATTAAAATTCTTCACATAGGGCTTCAGGATGTCAAAGTGGAAGGCAGGTGTCAGCAGGCGGCGATGGCGGCTCCACTTGTCACCTGAACTCAGGAAGAGCCCATCCCCTGGAAGGGAAGCCATGGCAGTGGGCAAAGATGGAAGCTTCCTCTGATCCCCAAGGTGTCCCCTGATCCTCACCTTGAGGTACTCACCCAGCCAGGGCTTCAGGAAACGTAATAAAGTCATGTCCTTGGGGGCCACCATAGCTGCCATGAAGGAAGACAATCAGAGGCCGTAGAGAGGGTGAAAGGTGAACTTTGGGAGAGGGTGGGGACTCCCAGCCCCAGGGTTCCCCATTTCCCCTCCAAACACAGGAAGGTGGGAAGGGAACAGGGACAAAGAAAGCAGGGAAGAGAAAGGAGGTGAGACAAAACCAGACCAGACTGCAGCTGCAGAAAGAGCAAAGGTCATCCCGGCAGGGCCCCAGCATGCCTTCACATGGCTACTACATGGTCCATTCTGTCTTCTATATCTGAGCTCAGCACAGCACTCTACAGGCCTTGCAAAGACCTAGGACACACCTTCATTAGCAGCTCTCTGACATGTCCTGACATATCCTGGTATATATGACAGGGGCACATGTCATCACAACCTGTCATAGACACAACACACATGATATTCCCTGACATGACACAACACTGGTGTGTAAAAGTCTGGCATGACCTAATTGTGCCCTTCAGAATGACACTGAAATATGGTCCCTTTTGAGTCGCAAATGTGTCCTAGATATGTCCCAGACCCCTCTAGTTCTCTCCTCTATGCCACACTAAGCATTAAGCTTTCAAAATTAAGGGTGCCTCTATTCTCAGAGCCAAGTGCCAACTGGGAAGAAGTTGTCTCTGCCTTCTCCAGCCATCAAGCAGCCCCAGGACCTACCAACCAGACACAGCTAACCCATCGGGACTCCAGGGGACATCCCCTGCAGTACTCGGCATACCATCTCTGTCCCAAACCATCTCCAGTTTGGGGGTCTCTTTTACAAAGGTGGCTGGGACAGCCAAAACTCATTGAACCAGCAGGTGGGGAGGAGTTCACATTGTGTCACGTGCCTCCCCCAATCTCAGCTGTTCACCTAGGAGGCACCATCTTGCAGGAATGCTGTTTATGTCATTGGGGACATGAGAGAAATAAAAAGGCATTGTGTTGTTCTGTACTATACAGAACCATTTGCACTCCATATTGTGCAAGGAATCTGCATGCACACATTGTAAATAGTACAATGTTGCAAGGAACAATTTGTTCATCCCGGCCCATCCCGGCCGCCCAGAGCTGAAATAATCACACAGAAACTGTATTAATTAAATCACTGCTTGGCCCATTAGCTCTAGCATCTTTTTGGCTAACTCTTACATCTTAATTTAACCCATTTCTATTAATCTATGTATCACATGGGGTCGTGGTCTGCCAGCAAAGTTTCAGCATGTCTATCTCCAGCAGCGGATCCATGGCGTCTCTCTCTCAGCCTACCTTCTTCCAGAATTCAGTCCACTTGTCCCCGCCTACCTAAGTTCTGACCTATCACAGGCCAAGGCAGTTTCTTCATTCATTAACCAATAAAAGCAACACATAGACAGAAGGATTTACCACACATTGCTATTAGTTTGAAGTTCTGAGGTAACTATGGAGAATACCCAGAAGAATGGGAGACCCACATCACAGAGCCTCATCAAACTCAGAGTCTTTAGGAATGTTCGAACCAGCAACACACTTTGGATCTTGGAGGCAAGACTAAACATGGAACCAGAAGGTTGAGACTGGGGTCTGGAAGTTCTGCCTGCTTTTGCTGCACGCACAGGAGACACAGTCATGTTTAAGGCTGTTGACTCACTATCTTCTCAGAACACAGACTTGGTAAATTATGAGCAATTTAAAGATTCAGTCACTGGAGAGATGGCTCAATGGTTGTGAGCACTTGTTCCTGCAGAAGACCTGGGTTTAGTTCTCCTTATCCACATGACAACTCACTATCACCTGTAACTCTGCTTACAAATAATCTCACACCCTCTTATGGCCCCTGAGGGTACTGCATGGTACACACACATCCATGCTGGCAAATAATCACACATATAAAATAAAAACAGAAAAATAAATAAAAATAAAATAAAATAAAAACAAAGGCCTGGCACAGTCATGCACACCTTTAATACCAGGACCCAAGGGACAGAAGCAGATGGATCTCTGTGAGTTCAAGGCCATCCTGATCTACAAAGTGAATTCCAGACCACCTAAGGCTATACAGTGCCTCAAATAAACTAAATAAATGCCTCAAAAAGAAATCATTTTTAAGAGACTCTGGATCCCCAGGACTTACTGACCAGACAGTGTAACTCAACAGATGAACTCCAGGGCAATGAGAGATCCCACCGTGATAAGGTATGAAGAGGTCCCAAGGATAGCAGCTCAAGTTGCTTGCTGTCCTCCACATTCATGCGCACACACACATGCACCCACAGGCACATGCATAAACATATACACACAAAAAGATTCTTCAAAGAGAGTTTTGTTTTTCCTGTTCTAGGTTGTAACCTATGACTTTGTCCATGGTAGACAAGTGTTCTACTGCTGAGTATATCCTCAGCCAATACATTCACTTTCCTGGCTTAGATCGTACTTAGGGTTGAACTTCCCTCTCTCACAGCTCAAGCAGATCTCCGCAGCAGAACCTTATCCAAGTTCACTCAGCTACAGAGACATGGGCACCGTTGGGAATAGCCCCATCTGCTGCTCAGCCTGGTCAATCAGAGGATAGGAAGGACTTGGACAAGAGACAAAGAAAAGGCCAAGTGTTGGGATCCTAAAAGAGATACCTGAGGCATGGAGCAGGGGGGCAACAAATGCAGGGTCAACAAGTCTCAGCACAGGGATGACGGGTCCCAGCCAATAGAGTTGGACATCTCGGAAGGTCTGGCCCATTTCAGTCACCAACTGCATGCCTTCCTCATTGTTCTGAATCTGGGGAGGGAAAAAGTTGAGGCAATCCAGGCAGAGTGTTTCAGATGTTCCCACCCTCTGCCCACCACACAGCACCTCTCACCCTGCTACTTGGGTCATTCATCTGTGTCTCTTGATGAGTTAATCTGAGTTCAACTACGAGTGTCCCTTCCTGTGTCCTGCATCTGTCTACACGCCTCCCTGATGTACCACTCTCATCTCTTTATTTGTGACCTAGATATAGATAATTGATGGATCAGTGGACAGACAGATACATTCATATACACAGATTTTGAATAGTAGTGACAGAGGTATGAACTAATTCATAGAGGGATTGGAGGAGATAGATAGATGACTGATAGATAGATAGATAGATAGATAGATAGATAGATAGATAGATAGATATAGTTGATAGATTCATAGGGGGATTGAAGGAGGTAGGTAGATAGATAGATAGACAGACTGACTGACTGCTGATAATTATACAGAAAATACATAGATAGATAAGATAGATAACATAGATACATGGAGAGGTATGATAGACAAATGACTAGAGAAGTGGGTCTAAATACATACGTGTGTGTATATGTGTGTGTTTATCTCTTTACCATAATTCTGTTTCCTTTGTCTTTCTCTTCATTTCCTTCATCTAATCATCTCTCTCTCTCTCTCTCTCTCTCTCTCTCTCTCTCTCTCTTTCTCTCATCTCTGGGTATGTGTATTTCCTTTTTTCTTATGGGATTTTCCCCCTATGGCTAAATCACCTCTCTCCTCTTCCCTCCCTCATCCCCTCTATCCTCCCCTCCAGGTAATTTCGTGACACACACCTCCCTCACTTGTCCCCAACCCCAGCAGAGCCCGCTGACACCCTCTGGGCAGGCATCTCCCTAGATTTACAGCAAAGGATCATGAAGGTTCCCAAATCTTGTTTCCCAGATCAGGATAGATGTGAACTTGGAAGTCAACTAATGGGGAAAATGATGGTCAGCTCAGGAGCTGGACCCTGAGGTAAGGAGGCAGCTTTAAGTAAGATAGGGGAGGGAAGATGGGAGAGGGTGGCAGGGGAATCATGTGGCAAGATCAGGGGAAGGAGGACCCAGCAGCAGACAGAGGAGTCTCGGGGAGCTCAGGGGAGACCAGTGAGGACATCAGCCCGGACCCAAACAGGAACTTCTGGGGAAGATAGAGAAGCCAATGCACCAGAGAGCATCCAAGACTGAGAGAATGTGACCCACACTGGAGCCGGTGCACAGGTGTGACAGAAAAGCAAATGGATGTGCTGGTGTGATGAGCAGACGGGGGCTCACTTTGCCTCCCTGACTTCTGGCTGCCTCGGACCACTCCTGACCTCTCCTGACTCCTAGGGAGCACATCCACCCAAAGCCCCAGTCCTATCTGCTGCTATACTCACCTGGCCCAGGTGACCCAAAAACCAATTCCTTCTAGGGGACTCAGGGAAGCATCTGAGGCGGGAGCAGTTCTCACAGAATGAGTAGGTCCAGGCAAGAATTCTAGCCACAAGCCAGGAAGCCGCTCCAAGCAACAGAAGATGCCATGGAGAGGCCAACACGGAGGTCGGGTCCAGCCCGGGGGCACTCAGCTCCAGCATCCTGCAAAGCAGATCAACACAGCGGGGAGATTATGGGGTTCGGGAGAAAGACTGGGAAACTCCAGAATTACTGAGCAAGGGCGCAGACTGTGCGCTTGAAGCATAACAAGGAAGGAAGGGGAGATCCACACCCACCCAGGGAGAGAGAGTAAGTGCGCAAGAGAAGGACCAGGAGGGGAAGGGATACACAGACAAGAGCTGTTCAGAGTCTGAAATAGCTCAGCCTCAAGCGCGTGGAACTGGCCTCAGGCAGTTAGTTACCCAGAACCCAGGGTCGCTTATGCCAGCTGGCTCCAAGGAGACACCCCAATGCTGTTAAGCCGTTCCTGATCAGCGGCAGGACCCTCTCTTGCCTCACACCCCAGGACTGTACCGTATTTCAGGGGCAGCCTGTACCTCAAGACTTTCCCACTTCTGTGAAAAGCATTTATCCTCTGCTTCCTAACTGCAGGGAGCTGTGTAGGAGGCTGGGCTGCATCTGGGCTGAACCAATCACTCGCAAGCTCAACCACTTCCTTCCTGCCCGGGCAGCAAGCCAAAACTAGTTGGGCAAGGTCAGCGTGGAGTGCAGCAGAACTCAGACGCGCTGCACGCAAGGGGACCTTTTGGCTGCAGCTCTTCTGAGTCAAGGCCAAAGGTGACTCTGGGTCATCAACTTTACAGCCACCCCTGCCCTTCCAAGCCCAGTGGTCTACAGATTAAACCCACGAAGGCAGAAGTACAGCTGCCAAGAAACCTGGCTCAAGATAGGACAGTTCCAGAGCATCTCCCCAGATTCTCTGCACAAACGGCAGCGTGCAGAACTTCTCACTGCAGCCTGGCAGAGTTAAGACCTATCCTCCAGCAGCCCAGTATTCCATACTAAAGCAGAGAATCTAGCCAGGGCTAGACCGAGGAGATGAAAGCTCTAACTGGGAAAACACACCGGAGGCTGAAGGCTCATAGTTCAGAGCGGAAGTGTGGAGGACCAGAGGGAGCTGGAAAGAAGCTGTAGCTGAGGCAGTACAGGCCAGGAAGAGCAAGGCTGGGGTGAACAGCCTTCCCAGCGTGAAATGGGGCACTGCCCTTAAAGTTGACTTATGTTGTCCAGAAACTATCCTTAACAGCCGTGTCTTGGACTCAGCAGTTGCTAAACCCACACATGGTGATACTCCACATTTGTTAGTTAACTAGGAGGGACAAACAGGCCACCAAAGCAGGGACATAAAGAACAATGGCGGTAGCTGACTGGCATTGATACAGAACGATAAGGGCAGTGGTCGGTGGACAAATCCAGATGGGTCAGCTCGGGGCTCCCTAAATCAGAAATGAGGGGCAATGGTGGCTGAAAAGTTTCTGCACCCCAGTAAACCTCTCCGCCGATGCAATAATCCAAATCAGACCAAATCAAACTGAATTAGAAAAGGTTTAGTGACTACCAGCACTCTGAGGTGGCCTTTCAGACCTCCAGAGAGAGGAGACAGGGAAGGAAGACAGGAAAACCTTGTCACGTGTTTGTTCTCTGGGGGGGAAATTTAAATACCCTGTGGGAGTGGTCTTGAGCATCTCTGGGGAGGGGTCATCGTTTGGCAGGCTTTCTCCGGGGTGGAGTCTGAGTTGAGGCAATTCCCAAGGGAGGGGGCTTGGGATGGAACCTCCACCCAAACAGTGGCTAGGGTCCGTGATAGGGAAATCAGAATAAAGCAACTTCATGGTTTCCTTCCTCCCCAGGGGATTTTCCAGTGTTCTCCCACTTCCCTGATCAACTTTTCAACTTCACTGAAAAGTACTTAAAAAACACATGCAAATTCTTGCAATTATACAACTAATTATAGAACTGAAACCTGTGTGAAACAGACATCTGAGGAAAGCACTCACCTTTTCTAGAAGACTCCACACTGGAGGAGACACAAGGAAGGGCACTATAGGGACCACAACAGTCTAAAGCCCACATTTGTCAGGGCTGAGACCATGGCTGTGACGCTTGACCTGGCCTTTTTACCTTTTATTTTATTTTACTTACTTGATTTATGTGTAGGGGTATTTTGTCTGCATATATGTCTATGTACCACATGTATGCCAGATTCCAGAAGGTTTGCAGAGAAAAGGGTATCAGATCCCTGAGACTGGAGTTGCAGAAAGTCTCAAAGCACCATGTGGGTGCTGGGAATTGAACCCGGCTCCTCTGGAACCATAGTCAGTGCTCTTAACATCTAAGCCATCTCTCTAGACCTGGATGGCCCCTTTTCAAGGAGTATATTCTTGTTTCTTTCCTTGTTCTGATTAAACTCTTGACAGCTTTCTCTACTACCGTGTCCCAACCAAATTCTTCCCTTTCAGGAGCACAGGAACTCACACTGCTGCCAGAGCTGAGAGCAGAACGAACTGGCTCAAGGAGCCTCCTCAGGACATTGTGAATCTTTGACCTGATACAGGACCTGAGATCAAACACTGACTTTCAAAGGCTGGAGGAAGTCTGCTCTAAAGACACAGCTTCAGCATCTGTCTGAAGTCCTACCAGGCGTCTGAGGCCACACAGACTTTAGCCTTTCCAAACCCATAATCACAGGTGCCAATTTCTAAAAATAAACCTGCTAAGGTATAAGTACACAAAGATTACCCCTATAATCAGGCCATTGGGAGATTGACGCAAGAGGAATATGAACCAAGGCCAAGCTGGGCTACATATGATAAGTCAAATATATGACATATAGCAAAGTTTAATCTTCAGATAAATTACACAGACCCTGATATAATGGTCACAATAGTCAATCATTACTGTCATCTTGACTGGATCTAGAATCACCATGGAAGCAGACCTCTGAGGGTGCCCAGGAGAGTCTTTCCAGAAGGGTTGCCTGACCACCCTGAAAGTAGACAGCTTCATTCCCAGGACTGTGTTCTCTGGCTAAATAAAAAATAAGGAAATGAGCCAAATACCACACATAATTGTTTGGTTGAAAGCATCACCTCAGTTCCCTAATACCCCTTTATACAAAAAGTCCAGATTGTTTGCCCGAGGGCTTCACCCCAGCTCCTGGCATAAGCTCCCTCCCCTGGGAGTTGCCTCAGTCCAAACTCCACCTCAGAGAAAGCCCACCAGACAGTGACCCCTTCCCAGGGAAGGTCAAGACCACTCCCACAGGCTATTTATACACCCCACCCTCATCTCAGGGAATGAACACTTTGGTCTCCAAGTTTCACATGGTCTTTCCCTCTCCATGTTTTCCCGGGGCCACCTGGGAGTAAGGCCATCTATTAAACATGGGCATCTTTAATTCAGTTTAATTTGGTTTGATTGGAATTATTTGCGTCAGCAAAAAGGCTCCTCTAAGAGAAAATATCTAACAATCTCTTTGCTCCCTGACTAAGATATCATGTGACCAGCTGCCTCATGCTCTTTCCTCCTTATGTTTAGACCACGATGGACAGACGGTGAGCCAAAGGTATCCCTTCCTTTCTTGACTTACCTTTTCCAGCTACTTTATCCTGAGAAGGGATAGGTAACTGATGCATGAAGGAGACCCCACTCAGAGGGGGCTTCCTCTTGAATCCCCAGGTTAGATACAAACCACAACCAAACACTTGTTTCTGCAGAGAGGTCCTTTATTAAGCGGGGAAGAAATCAAAGTGGTTGCTTTCTGACTCAGGAAGAAAAGAGCAGCAAGTGACCTTGCAGGTGTAATTTTTAAGTGAAGAAAAAGGGGAGCTCTGTGTTAGAACGGATTAGGGTGAGGTGGGAAAGGGAGAAGGGAACAAGGGAAAGGGAGAAGGGACCAAGGGAGAGGGGGAGGCGGCATTACTGCCTCTGGAGGGAAAGGTGGCACATAGGCAAGTGACAGTTTGTAAAGGAAAAGGGGGAAAACCCATGATAGGGTGAGGCATTTCATTTTAATTGGGCTTGTTAAGTAGGTAAACCAAAGGGGGCTTTTGATTGCTGGACGTTGGTAGTCAGCCACAGAAAGAGGAAGTGACCAAATAAAGGGATAGACTTTGGTGGCTAGCTTTAGGAATGTAATCTAGGGTTTTGTTTTGCTTTGCTTTGTTTTGTTTTAGCAGGGCAAAAGGAATGGGGAGAAAGGCAGGCCTGCCAGAATCACATGGTTGAGTGAGCTAGAGTCCCTTCGGCTCAGAAAGTTTGTATAAGGGGTGAGGTCATAACCTGGCCATGTGGTTAGGAGGAATTTCACTGATTTGCTGAAGGAACATGGAGGAGTTTTGAATTCTGTGATATAAAATCCCAGATTACTGAACGAGACATGCTGATGAGTGTCCAGAGACCACAATGCTGAGAGAAATAGTGACAGCGGAGGCAGCGTTCCCGAGGATTCAGAGGGAGATAGAAATTTTTTGGGAACTGAGCTAGCAGACATCCATTTTAACATCAATTGTGTATTTTTTTTAAGCCATGGTCAGCTGAATCTCTGTTCTAGCTTTTGTTTGTTTGGTTTTGGTTTTTATAAACAAAATTGTAGGGCACATGGGCAGCAAAGATGGCGTCAAAAGGAAGTCAGACAGGCAGACCCTGAATCGTTTACACCAAGACCTGATTGGACACCAGAATCAGGCAAGATGATGTCAGCGTGTGAACAGCTTGTGGACAATAGAGTAAATGTAGGGTTTCTGGGCATGTGATAGGGTGACCTCTAAAATGATTGGCTGGCTCCCTTTCTCCCCATGGCCCTGTGGTTTTTTGCTTTAAAAGATCTTTACTGCTTTGATTTGACTCCCTGCTGGGTATATCTCCAGGATCAAGGGAGGCTGGGGAATGGGCGAGAGACGCACTTTTCTCAGACCCAGCTCATCCTCATCCAGGTGGGCTAAGACCCTGCACCTGGCGCCCAATGTGGGGATCGAACCCACGACCCTGAGATTTAAGAGTCTCATGCTCTACTGACTGAGCTTGCTGCGCCAATGCCCACCTTGCTCTCCCCCTGGAGGGGTTTCTAGGACATATTGATTGCCATTATGGGCCGTCTAAATGGACATCCATGCTATGGTGACTTCCCTTGAAGATGCCTTCTCTGTTCTCTCCTAAGCCTATCCCCGGTGCTTTTCATGTTTTTACTGACATAGCTCAGCCAGGCTCTGGATATGAAGACTTTAGAAACCAACAAGAAACACCAAGTTATGAAGGGTTCCAGCCTTGTCAGGGGTGAGCTCAATGTAAGAAGATGCTTGCTATAATCATGGTCCCTCAAGATATTCAAGAGCCCTTTAATTTATATTCCGATAGCTTATATATGGTTAGTTTACTTCCCCACCTTCCTAAGCACTTGTTAAACTGGATGATGACCCTATTTCCCCCCTTATGGTTACCCTCAGAGGCTTGTTGGAAGGACGAGGGGCTCCCATTCATATACAACATTTAAGAGGACAATCAAATCTCCCCAGATTTCTATCCATGGGAAATAATTGGGCTGAT